ACACAAGTGTAGCATGCTAGGGTCGCTAAGCATTAAAGCTAATGAAGGGGACTATACATGAGGCATGCAATGCATGGCACAAATGGATGAACCAGCCACAAACAAAGCTCAAATAGGTCCAAATAGGTCCAAATAGAGACCAAAACATGCTAAGAGGGGAGCTCAAAGGTCTAGGCATGCATGCATACAAGCTAGGCCACAAACAAGGCAATAATGGACCAACCCTCGAAGGCACTCAAAGGGTGAAAGAAGTGGGAGCATGGTAGTACTTTATACTCTGAAATAACATGGTAAATGATGCTAAATCATGTACATGTCACAAATGAAGCATGCTAGGAGGCTCAAAGCTTGAAACTAGCATAGGCACTTACATTATAACAATACAATACATGAAGCATATGGCCAATGCAACCCAAAAAAGTTTTAGAGCATGTGAAAATGATACTAAAACATGCATGGAGCAAAGCTAAAACATGCTAGCATGAAGAGCCAAAACAACAAGCTTGCAAGGCCAACAAGGAGGATTACACTACACCTGCCAAAGCCAAGCATGAGATGACTTAACCAACAAAAATTAGAGTTATGGCATGTCAAAATGACACCCAAAACACATTGATATGGCAGCCCAAAGGCCTAGGCAAGATGGCATGCATCAAGGCTCATACTGAAGGCATAAAGCACCAACCCTCCAACGCATTGAAAGAGTGAAAGATATGAGTGTATGGCCACACTATGTGTACTGAAATCACATATCAACTGATGCCAAATCATGCAAATAGCCCAAGCAATGCATGCTAGTATCTTGGAAACTCAAAGCTAGTGAGCTAGAATGGACTATAGTTATACAAAGCATGGCATGCATGACCAAAAAAACATAAATCAGAGCTAGAGCATGCTAAAACATGGCCAAAAGCTTGCTGGAGCTGAGCCAAAATAATGCTAGAATGATGGCCAAAAGTATGATGCATGTTAGGCTAGTGAGTGGAAATGCACTACAAGTGCATGGAGCATCCAAGAGGCTATCAAACCAAACCAAAATAGAGCTAAGGCATGGAAAAACAACCCCAAAAACATGCTGATATATGGCCAAAACATGCTAGAAAGTCATGCTAAAACATAAGGCATACAAGGCTAGTTTGGGAGGATTACATTACAAGTGTAAATAGAATGCAAAGGGTGACCAAACCAAGCCAAAACAGAGGTGTGCCATACTAAAATAAGGCCAAAAATAGGCCGAAAACAAGCCAACACAAGCTTAACAAACATGGTCAAACATGAGGCATACAAGGCAAGTAACCAAGATACAAGGAGAGGGGATACCCTCTCCTATTTAAGACCTCAAAACACAAGTTTTACCACTGAAAATCCACTGGATTTCAGTGGTTAAAAGGCCAAGAGAAAGTGATCTCAAGGGCCTAAAGTGATGGTGCAAAACAAAGCCAAACAAGGCATGCAAGGGAGTAGATCACCCCCAACACCAAAGAAGCCTTAAACAAACATGTTAAGCACTAAAAATTAGAACTTTTTGTAGTAGAAAGTTGGGCCTAAAACAACATGCAAATTGGGCCAAAAGCTTAATAAAAAACAGGGGTTTAAGAGGTTAGAAGCTCACCCTTGTAGAACGACTTTAGAGCAACAACTCCAGTAGCTTTTTTGGATCAAAACCTATCCAAAAATACCAAAACCAACTTCAAAGTGCCTCAGCAACAAGGGTATGGTGTTTCACTACGTGTTTGTGTGCAAACGTTTGAAGAATAGGCACTTTTAAGCACAAATATGAAGTGAAATGAAGAAGTATAGAGATAGATGACATGTATAGCTCAAGCAATTTTTTTTCTGAATCTAAAGCAAGAGGGGAGAGGTTCTCCTTTGTAGAAAACCAAAGTTCAAGCTTGTTGAACAAGCTTAAGGCTCTAAGCCATCCCTCCATACACGTGTATGGAGGATGGTTTCTGTGCTCACCAGCTGTCACAGCTGGCAAGAAAAGATCTTCAGAAAGGTGCTGGAAAGCTACCGACCACCACAAGTGGTCTGCAAAGGAGGCAAGTGGTCGACAGGTGGGCGGAGGTGGTCTGCACAATGAAAGCAAGCCAATGGTGTGGTGGCCGACCACTTTTGATGGTCCAAAGACCAAGAAGACCAGTTTGTCGACCAAAAAATTGGCTTGCATGAAGAAAAGTGGTTTTCAGGGAGAGAAACTGGTCTCCCACCCTTATTCCACCCTTCATGCAAGGAAAACAAGGTTTGTGCCAAAAACAAACCAAAACGGATGAAAGACGGAAGTCTGGAGGTCAAGGCGCGCAGCCGGAATCCTAAAAAACTAGTCTACGGACACAGAAAGTGATCTACGAGGGAAAAGTGGTCTACGAGACCACAATTTCCTTCTAGACCAAGGCAACAAGGCATGGTCCGAAAACCCGGTCAAAAGGAGAACGTTAAGCGGTCCCGAGACAAGACGCACGGCTGAAGGCTTCGAATATCGAAAACTAGTCTCCAAGTGAGAAAAGTGGTCTATGACCAGAAAAAGGTGGTCTACAGATCTCTTTCTCCCTCCAGGCAAGGTCAACAAGGCTTGGTCCACAAACTGAGCCCAAACACAAAGAGTTTAGAGGCCCGGAGGTGGGGCACTCAGCCGAAAGCTTCGGAAACTCGAAACGGGCACAAACATGAGAGATCACCGAGCGCTCAATCGATGACGTCTGAGTCTTAAGGTCGGTAAAAAATTGGGTGTCTACAGACAGTGGCAGAGAATGAAGCATAATTTTCAGAGTTAGCCTGTTACATACCACACATGGTGGATACGGATTGCAAAAAAGCAACAAAGTTTGAAGGAGGACTGCGGAACTCGATTCTGGATAAGATTAATGTGTTAAAACTGCCTACCTACGTTGATGTGTTGGAAAGGGCGATAGTGGCCGAGGGTGATATAGCTGCTCAAAATCGGGTTTCTAAGTGGATGGGGAAGAGACAGAATGCACAAGCACCAAGGGGATTAGCAGCATCACAGAACAAGAAACTGAAATTGCGAACTTCTAGTACTTCCACCTCTAGTTGTGAATCAGCGCCAACTTGTCTAGATTGTGGGAAAAGGCACCGTGGGACTTATTATCGGGTAACTGGGGCTTGCTTCAAGTGTGGAAAGACGGGACATTTAGCACGAGATTGCCCTTAGAGGGACCAGCAAAATGGGAATACGCTTACTGCAAGTTCAGCCGGCTCAACTCCAGCTCTAACTACAAAAAGGCTGCTACAAAATCCACCAATACTAAAGACATTGCTAGACAGGGGAGAGTATTTGTTCTTATTTCCAGTGATATGCAGAATACGGAGGCTGTGGTGTTAGGTACATTTCCTATCGATTGTCACCTTGCTCATGAATTATTCGATACGGGTTCTACCTATTCTTTTGTGTCGGAAACCTTTGCTAGTAAATTGAATAGACCTAAGGAATCGTTACATTATGTGCTATATGTTTCTTTAGCATCGAGGGGCTCCATGTTGTGTACATCCATTTACCCTGCTGTGAGATCATTATTGGGGATGTTTAGTTAACTGCTGATTTGTTGCTGCTCGACATGGCTTATTTTGAAATAATTTTGGGGACGAATTGGCTAAGTAGATATCATGTAACTATCGAGTGTATGTCAAAACAAGTCACCTTTCGACCCCCAGGGCAATCCAAATTTATGATTATAGGACAAGGGGTAATTCCACTGTCGTACTTAATCTCCGCCATAAAAGTGTGTAAGTTATTACAAAAGGGGTGTCGGGGGAATTTATGTAGCATTTTGAATGGACAACCAGCAGAGGTGTGTGTTGATAACATCCCTGTGGTCCGTGAATTTCTGGATGTTTTTCCAGAGGAGTTACGAGGAGAGTTAGTGGACCGTGAGATTGAATTTGTGATTGATGTAGTATTAGGAACCCAACCCATTTCAAAAGCCCCTATTAGAATGTCACTGGCAGAAATGAAAGAGTTGAAGATACAGTTGCATGACCTGCTTGATAAAGGATTCATTCGTTCGAGCACTTCTCCTTGGGGTGCACTGGTTCTTTTTATTAAGAAGAAAGATGGAACACTCTAGCTATGTGTTGACTACCGAGAGCTTAATAAGGTGATTGTGAAGAACAAGTATCCCTTACCTAGGATCGACGATCTATTTGATCAACTTCAAGGTGCACAAATCTTTTCGAAAATAGATTAGTGATCTGGATACCATTAGTTGAAGGTGAAAGCCGAAGATATTGAGAAGATTGCTTTCTGAACTCGACACGAGCATTATGAATTTCTAGTTACGCCATTTGGGGTTACTAATGCACCAGCGGCCTTCATGGATTTAATGAACCGTGTTTTTAGACCATATCTGGATGACTTTATGGTGGTGTTTATTGATGATATACTCATCTATTCTAAAAGCACTGAAGCTCATGAGAATCATTTATGGGTAATTCTTCAAACCCTTAGAGATAAGAAATTGTATGCAAAATTGAAGAAATGTGAGTTTTGGTTACACGAGGTGGTGTTCTCGGGACATGTAATTAATAAGGAGGGTATTTCTGTGGATCCACATAAGGTAGAAGCCATTGTGAATTGGCCAACTCCTACGAATGTGATGGAGGTACGTAGCTTCTTGGGTTTAGTAGGGTACTACCAGAGATTTGTACAAGACTTTTCTAAGATTGCAATACCGCTTACCTAATTGACCCAAAACGGGGTTTTGTTTGAGTGGACTGACCAAAGGGAATCTGCTTTCCAAGAGTTGAAAACAAGATTAACTATAGCACCAGTTCTTGTTCTACCAACTGATACTAAGGGGTTTATGATCTACAGTGATGCTTCTTATAAGGGATTGGGTTGTGTACTCATGCAGATTGGAAGGGTCATTGCCTATGCTTCTCACTAACTCAAGCCTCATGAAAAGAATTATCCCATATAGGACTTAGAGCTAGCTGCATTGGTCTTTGTTTTGAAGATATGGTGACATTATTTGTATGGTGCTATGTGTGATGTCAACACCGATTATAAGAGCCTTAAGTACTGCTTTACCCAAAAAGAGTTGAATATGCATCAAAGATGGTGGTTAGAGCTTATCAAGGATTATGACCTACAGATCTATTACCACCCTGGTAAGGCTAATACAGTTGCAGACGCTCTTAGTAGGAAAGTTAGAGGGAATCTAGCAAGTTTACTCACAAGACAGAAAGAATTGCTCCTTGATTTGGAAAGAATGGACATGGAAATTATGTTACGTGAACAAGGTGTAGTGTTAGCAGCAATAGCAGCTCAGCCAGCAGTTATTAAAGAAATTAAACAAAAACAAATGGAAGATGATCATTTAAAGAGCATTTGTGAGGAGATGGAAACAAGGACAAAGCCCAGGTTTACGTTTGAAAATATGGTGATGAAATTTAAAGATAGGTTGTGTGTCCCGAATGCCCCAGAAATCAAGAAAAGAATTATGAAGGAAGCGCATAAATCCAAATTTTCTCTACATCTCGGTAACACTAAGGTGTATCAAGATTTGAAGCAAAAATTTTGGTGGCCAAGTATGAAGAAGGAAATTGCAGAGTTTGTGTCAAAATGTTTACAATGCCTACAATGCTTACAAGTAAAAGCGCAGCACCAAAGACTAGCAGGACTACTTCAACCTCTCCTAATTTTGGAGTGGAAATGGGAACATTTGACTATGGACTTTGTTGTTGGCTTGCCCCGAACACCCCGAAGTATGAATTCCATATGGGTTATTGTTGATAGATTAACAAAATCTGCTCATTTCCTGCCTGTGAAAACTCAATATAATGTGAATAGACTTGCTACTGTGTATATAAATGAGATTGTGCGGCTATATGGTGTTCCAATTTCAATTGTATCTGATATCCGAAATTTATATCCAGATTTTGATAAAGTTTACAAGAGGCTATGGGAACATAGTTGAAATTTAGTACGACCTTTCACCCCCAAACTGATGGCCAATTAGAGAGAACAATACAAACATTAGAAGATATGCTTCGGATGTGTGCCTTGGACTTCCAAGGGAGTTGGGAGACGTACCTACTATTGGTGGAGTTTGCATATAATAATATTTCCACTCAAGCATAGGAATGGCACCATATGAAGCTTTGTACGAAAGGAAATGTCGCTCCCTAGTGTGTTGAACCAAAGTCGGCGATAGATCATTGCTTGGGTCGGAACTTGTGCAATTGACGACAGAGAAAATTCAAACCATTCAACAAAGGTTGAAAACCACCCAAAGCAGGTGTAGACGTGCCCAAACGTCCCAGGAAAATTCTGTTTCGTTCATTTGGGCTTACCACAGTTCGGACTCAAATGTCACGGTTCTGAATCTAATCTCGCAAAGTGCAATGCAAGACCGATAAATCACCAAAGAGTCCAAATCCGAAAAATCATTTTGGAAAACTAATTTTTAAGAAAGAAGTGCCAAACATGGACTGCTTTGCCAGATACAGAGTCGCCACCTAAATATTTTATTTTAGGGAAATTTAGGAAACCCTGACTCGTGCCTAAGGCCACGTGTCCGTCATCACCAAAGTTGCCTCGGGAACTTGGGTACGAGAGGGGAAGGTCATGCAATGAGCACCCCCGCTCGCTCGATCAAAGATCAGTCTGTACTAAGCATGATATCTTGTTTTTGAAAACACATGCGTTCTTATTTCGATTAATTAGCTAGTCTTACTACGAGATACGCACATAAAACAAGTATCGACTAGATCGCCTAATTTGGAACGAAGCATCGCATATCTGTTTGTTAGTAAAATGGTTTGAAGTTTGCTACTCGCAAGTAGGCTAAAATGCGGATTTCAATGAATTGTTCCAATTCAAGTAATCCAACCTTCACCCACAGGCATTCAGGCAGTCAATGACATAAGCAGTTAGCCTCATGGCAAGCATGCTAATATGTTAACACTCACACGCATGCAAGATGTTAAAGTATAAACACTCACAATGTACTCCTAGCCAAAACAAAGAACTAGTTAGTAATCAATGCATGATCCTAATTCATGCCAAAATGGCAAATGCAACACAGGCGAAATGCGACTAGAATAAACTCGGCTAGTCTAAGATGGCATATGAGATGCAACAATTCGATACATGTATCCAAATAGGGACTGAAATACAATGCAGTTAGTATGATGCGCCGAGCCTGGTGCATGCAATACAGATGAATGGATGCAAACATGCGAGCATAAAGATGCTAAATTAAATATGCCCTAAAACTAACCATCGTAAGCGGTTAAGTAAAAGGGAGAAAGAAATGGGGGTTGGAAGACATGCATCACACACACGCATGCTTATTACAACAATTGGCCTTCTCGACAAACGGTCCGAAAGAATAATAGAAATCAACTAATTAACTAACTTACATGCTAATTAATTATTACACAACTTTTAACTAATTAAACAAATTAATTAAGCTATGAAAAACAGTAAAGCAGCCTCGGGAAGAGGAACAAATGCATGCTTGGTCGGCTTCGCTCGAAAATTCGTTGCCATGCCTTATGTTGTCTCTGTTTGCACTGTTTTGCACTTCTGAAAACTGCACAAGTCTCTGTGATGCTCCAGATCCACTTCATGGTCATGCTGAGAGGCCATCGGCCAAATGGAAAGGCCAACGGCCAAGAGATGAAGGTCATCGACCAAAAATAAGGCTCGGCACTGAATATGGTCAATCGACCATTTCTTCCTGTAAAATACTCCTGTTGCTGCAGCAGAGGACAAACAGAGCATGGCAATACATTTACACGACAATGTTTGCAGCTACACCCCTTATCATGTTTAAGACTCAAAGGAGTGTAGTTCTCGACCCTCAGGCCACCAACCACGCATTTCAATGCATGATGGCCAAAGGAGCCAAGTGGGCAATTCAATGTCAAATGAAATGCATAAAACCATATAAGGCTGCCTCAACCTCTATCATGCTTGATCAAGAGGCAAGGGATGCACACATAATGCAATGCAAACATGCAAGCATGATGCGAACAACTCAGGCATGCAACAAGTATGCAACTAGATCATGCAACGCAACTAACGTACAATAGGCATACTGCCTAAACATGTGAAGATACATGGCATGCAACAACATGCAAAATGAAGCCAGCATGCAACAACATTCAAAGATGGACTTAAACTAAAGTGGACAACTCTTAAACGTGCCCAAATCAGTGGCCAAAGTTATGAATTGGAAGCATGAAAATGCAAAACAAACATGCACATGTAAATGGTCTAACCCCTAGGTATAGGAGGGAAACTTTCAAAAACACTTAAAAGGGGACAAATATGGACATGTGACAAACATTATAAGCTCTGACATCTTGCATGGAAAGGTGTCAAACCAACCAAACAAAGCAAGCAAAGCATACAAGAAAGCCCAAAGCTTAAGGCTAGCCAAGGGACTCAAACCACAAACCATGGCTATGCAAGGCAAGCCCCAAAGGGCCAAGGGCACTCAAAATAGTCCCAAGGTAGGTCAAGGCAAGACCAAAAACATGCTCAAAACTAGCCAACACAAGCTAGAACACAACACCAAAACCATGAGGCATGCAAGGCTACAAAATGGGTGTTACATTACACCTATCAAAACCAAACATGGCATGAATTATCCAATGAAAAACAGAGTTATGGCATGATAAAACAAGACCAAAAACCCACTTAGATGGCATCCAAAAAACCTAAGCATGGCGGCATACACAATGGTCCATTCATGAGGCATAAAATATCAACTCTTTAAAGCATTAAAGGAGTGATAGGTGCAAGTGTATGGGCATGAAATATGGACTGAAATATCATAACAAATATTGTCAAATCATTGAAATGAGCCAAGTAAAGCATGCTACTGACTTGGACACTCAAAGCTAACAAGCTAGAATGCCTTATGGCTATACAAAGCATGGAATAAATGATCAAAACAACACAAAATAGAGCTGAAGCATGGTAAAACATGACTGAAAGCTCCTTTGAGTTGAGCCAAAATATGCAAGCATGATGGTCTAAACACAAGATGCATGTTAAGGCAATAGAGAGGATTAAAAGACAAGTACATGGTGCATGCAAGAAGACATTAAACCAACCTTAGACAGAGGTAAAACATGGCAAAATAACACCAAATACTTGCTGAAATGGAGCTAAAACAAGCTAACCAAATATGCTACCAATATAAGCCATTTATACTAGCATACAAGACAACAAGGAGAGGGGATGACCCTCTCCTATTTAGGACTCCAAGACCACCTTTCCACCACTGAAAATCCTCTGGATTTCAGTGGTAGAAAGGTCATGCAAAGACAAGAACAAAGGCCAAAAGGGATGGCTCCAAACACGGCCTAAGAGGGGGTAAACAATCCCAAACCAAAAAGTGATCTTAAAGAAAGATATAAAGCATCAAAAAATCAAACTTTTATCAGTTAAGAGTCAAGCTTAAAACAATAAGCAAGTGTGTCTAAAAGCTTAAGCAAGAATGGGGTATCTAAAGGTTAGTTGCTCACCCTTGTTCAAACTCTTCAAGAACAAAGCTCCAGCAGCTTTCTCTGACTAAAACCAGCTCAAGAACTCTGAAATCAACCTCAAGGGACTTCAGCTCCAAGAGGATGGTGTTCTAGTGTGTGATTTTGTACAATAGTAAGACAAAACAACACTTTAGAGCACAAAACAAGATCAAACAAAGGAATATAGATGCAAAAGTATATCTATCCCTCTAGATTGAATTTTCTGAACCTCTAAGAAGGGAGGAGGAGCTCCCTTCTTATAGGAATTCAATTCCAAAGCTTCTTGGAAAAGCTAAAACAAGGTGCAAATCACTCCATACACGTATGTGGAGGATGTGAATTGTGCATGCAAGATGTGAATTGTGCATGCCAAATATCTGCATATAGCAGATGAATAGGGCTCGGCCAGAAAACAAGGCCGATCGACCAAACAAAGTGCCGATCGACCAAAAAGAGTGCCGATCGGCCAACAATTTTGGCTGATGGCAAGAAAACAAGGCCGATGGCTTCATACCTTGGCCGATGGGTTGAGGGGATGGCCAACAAGCCACCCTCTTCCCTCAGAAACAAAACCGCAAGTCCTTGGTCCAAAACCAAGCACGGAACAGACAGGTTGAAAGATCCTAAGGCAAGGCGTGCAACTGAGACTTCCTGGAACTCAAAACAAACACGAATATGGATGATCATCGAGTGTTCAAACGATGACGTCCAAGTCTTAAGGACAATAAAAAATGGGGTGTCTACAGTTGTCCCTCTTTGACAGAACTCAAAAGTCATAAAAATGATGGGAGTGATTGTCAATGCTCAGAGACGACCCATTTTTGACAAGGCCGAAGACTTAGACAAGCATAAAAGATAGCAAGATATGTGCCCGCGGGCGGGGGCAAAATGCAAAGGACATGTAAGGTGCCGAACATAACTTATCATCATGCAATAGTTTTAAGCAAGCAAATAAGAAACAAACAACGTTTCATGCCGAAAGGACGTAAGAAAATTATACAAATCTCACTGCGTCTCACATGGAGAAGACTAAAAGCGACTATCGAGGACGCCCAGAGTCTCAAACACAACATCTCTCAACGTAGCATACGCAAGAGGGGAAATGAGCAACAACAATTCTCAGCGTATCACACACAAGAGAAGGGAAGCAATTCTCAGCATATCACACACAAGAGAAGGGAAGCAATTCTCGGCGTATCGCACACAAGAGAAGGGAAGCAATTCTCAGCGTATCGCACGCAAGAGAAGTGAAGCAATTCTCAGCGCATCAGACACAAGAGAAGGGAAGCAATTCTCAGCGTATCGTACGTAAGAGAAGGGAAGCAATTCTCGGCGTATCACACGTAAGAGAAGGGAAGCAATTCTCAGCGTATTGCACGCAAGAGAAGGGAAGAAATTCTCAGGGTATCATACGCCAGAGAAGGGAAGCAATCCT